TGATAGACACAGACTTCAGTGAGATGTATCACATATTAGGGGTCATATGGCAGCCCAGTGGGTGGGCTTCCAGTTCCCCCCCAAAAAAAGTCTATTACTAAAATTAATCTTACAAAACACCAAAAACTCAGATGATTCACATGGACATCTCGGAGACGTTTCCAGACACTAACCTCTGGGGTCAACTTCTGAGTGGGATACATCCACAAGTAAAGGATTTTAAAAATAAATCAGAATTGGCTCCATGTCCTCCATACTGAAGGAAGCATCTTTAGGTCCTTAGCACTCTCCCAAAGTTTAGCCCCGAACTCTAGGCTAGTGTGAAGCTAGATGCAGAGGGAAAACTTTCCCCACACCATTCTGGGCACATAGCATGATCTTATTTCATCCCAACCTTCCTCTTCTTTCATAGAAGCTATCTTCATATACTCATTAAAATTTTTACATTTGATGTGAGATTTCACATAGCTATCAAGTTACTTTCTTACTACTTATCCATTATATGCGCTCCACAGGGGCTGAATCAGTCCTGTACTTATTTCTTGGTTCTAACAAACCTGGAATAAAAACCATTACCCAGTGGTACCTGAGGTGCTGTATTGGGTTTGGAAACACATATTAAAGTCCCAATGTGAAAAAAATAATAAGTTATCACACAGCGTGTTCCTAAAAATATTCTTCCAGATTTAATTTTTCAAATCTCAAACCTCCTATGTGGAAACTGACAGTACCTGTAGCTTCCTGACTTTGACGAAAGAGTTAAAAAAAAAAAAAAAAAAAAAAAAAAAAAAAAAAAAACAGTGCCAAACCTTGTACTCTCCTGGCCTTTCTTCACAATGATGGTGGAGTTCCTTAGCTACATCAGGCATTCAGCTTCCTCTAGTTCTGACTCCTAAGTAGTAACTACACCTCACGAAGCCCCTTTGCTCGAATCTCTCTCTTAAAACAGCTAGCCGTCTTTCCCTTCCGCTGTGTCAAGTCTTAACCTGATTTGAAACATCAGAACACATCTGCATTTCTAACCCCTCAGAGAAATTTGAAACGGAAATATTGAAATTATAAAGAAATCCTGAAGTTCTGCGTGTGTGCATATGTTTTGAGGCGCCTGAGGGTGTCAGGTGTTGTCTCTAGACTGGCCTGGAAGTTGCAATCCTCCTGCCTCAGTCACCTGAGTGTCTGGATTACTGCCATGGGCCACCATTCCTGGGACAGGGCTTTTAATCATCACACATTCAAACGACAGGTTTCATGACTGATGCCTAATACAGGAAACAGAGTTCCCTTTCTCTTATTAAGCCCTTGCCTTGAACTCTCTCTCTCTCTCTCTCTCTCTCTCTCTCTCTCTCAGGGTCAATACGACACAAATCTCAGAGTTTGGACTCCAGTGGACAGGACATGGGGATGATGGAGGGAGAGGCAAGCAGAGGAAGTTCTCATCAGCCTCATCTACTTGGTGAATACAGACAAGCTGGGTTCCAGATACAAGAACAACACAAACGTATTCAGGAGAGGTGAGAAGCGCGAGCCCGTTCAGGACGGAGATGCCAAAGGAAATGACTCACCACCCGGGAACTCTCTGGGAGGTAAATGGGCTTTGGAACATTGCTGTGAGAGGGGTCCAATCCACCAGCACCTGGAGATGTCCCCCAGCTGCGGGAATGCCACTTTAGACTGTGCAGACACCCCTAACAAATGTTACTGACCAGAGAAAAAGTAAGCCGGGGTTTAAACATACATGAGTCCCGGATTCCTTTGTGGGCATAAGGAGAACTGACAAGGCCTGGGCATGTGGGATGTGGAGGCAGGAAGATCGAGAGTTCAAGGCCAGCTACGTAGAGTTCTACATAAAGTTGGCTACGTCAAGTTCCCACATGAGACCCTGTCTTGAAAACTGGACATGAAATTAAAATCTAGGTCGGCAATCTGGTTAGAACGACAAACAGGGAAAGAGGGTGCCGAGGGCGAGCGCCTCTCTCCTAGGTGGACACTGCCTGTCTCTTGTCTCCATTCACCACTGGTGATTGACAACCTCTGCCATCTGCAAAGGATGCTGAGCCCGAGTGAGTCAGGGTCAGGTAACTAAGCGCAGGGTGCACTCACTCATGGACAGCAACAGTGGAGGAGAGGTAGGAGGCGCAGACCATAACCTCGGTGCTCTCCCACCATCCCACTGAACAGAAACCTCCGCGCATAAACCACCCAGGGGCTCTTTGGTCTCTACACGCAAGGTCACCGAGCAAGTCACGCAGGCGCTGGTCAAGGAGAAGCCACCTGTGTGGGTTCCCCCAGACATCCGGAGTTAGGACAGCAGGACCTGAGAACTGAACCGTAGCCGGTCCTTATGCCAAGAGGCAGCCTGAGTAAGTTAAAGAATGAAGCACACACAGCTGTGGACAGGGCGGGCTCCTCAGCCTGCATTCTGGACGTGGGTGTGGCTCTGCCCAGCCTTGGGTTTGGTTCTGAGCCTCCTGCACATAGGGCAACATCTCAGGGGCCCCTGGGATATTCCAGACTGGAATCACTCCGCACCCTAGACCCTGGGACCCTTTCACACTTTCATCACTCTGCAGAGATTTTCAGACCGCCCTGGGCTAACATCGTGTTGCTGAGACCAACCGCTAAATGGTGGCTTGGCTGGGAAAGGTAAAAGTGTCAAACTGATACCTCCTTCGGGACTCTAACGGAACTGTGAGGCACAGCGATTCCAGGACTCTTCTGCCGCCCTGGAGACGAACCCTGAAAAGCGCCAGCATCAGCGACGGTCATTTATGGGCCTGCACTGTGTCGTGGGCTTCACAGGTATTGATCTGTTGGTTATTCAAGGTGGCCCTAAGGGCTAGGACTTACTACAGTATCAATAAAGAAATGGGGGCCTGGGAGAGGGCTCAGGGTAAAGCGCCTGATGCTCACATGGACCCGAGTTCAGAGCCCAAGTCAAGAGATAGGTGTGGCTGCAAATGTCCCTGACCTCACCACGGTGTGAGCAGAGACACGGAGACCCCTAGCCCAGCTGGTGAGTTTTGGGGTCAGGGTGAGACACTGGCCTCGAAAACCAGTGGTGACTGAGCAAGGCGCCACAATGTTGCCCTCTGACCTCCACAGGTACATGTGCATGTCCTCCCTGACACATAAGTACAAACACACACACACCATCCCCAAGTCCCCAAAACTGAAACCTAGAGGCATTCACTAACTTGCCCACAATTATTCAACAAATAATATTTGAGCAGGGACTCAACACCAGGTGTTTACACACCTGCCCTCCACCGTCTGCCAGTCTGCCTCCCCGCAGCCTGGAAGAATACCCTGAGACCACCCAGGGAGTGTGGTCAGACAAGCATAGGGTCCCTGTGTCTGAGAAGCAGGGACACACTGCCCACAACCCTCATCCTGCTGAAATGAGACATGCCCTGCTCCAGGCAGGCTAGAGACTCCCTCAGGAGATTGGGGACATCTGTGCTAGATGCTCTCTACTGTACCCAGATCCTCTGTTCAGAGAAAACTCAAGCAGGGCGGGCCTCATGCTATGGGTGAACTTCAAATGAGTCCTAGGTTGTAAAGAAGAAACGAGAGAAAAATAGAGTCCCTTGCTGAGGAGAAGATTCTCCACGCCACGCCCGGGAAGCCATTAGCATCTGCGAACCTCCATGGAGCTTTTGGCCCTCGTCAAGATTTCTGCATCATGCCTTGAACATTAAAACGTGGTTTTGTCCCCCTATCTAATTCATTTCTTTGGAAATGGTCTTCTTGAAGCTGGCTCTCAAAACCAGTTTCATCCCTTACTCTTCCTTTCGCCTAACCTTAAAGGACAGATATTTTCACCCCCAGAGTGTGCTGACAGCCATCAGGGTGACTAAAATATCCAGTATGTCTAAGTGAGAAGTTATTTTTAAAAATCATTCGGCTGAGAAAACTCCAATCATGATAATTTCAAGGGAATTCTAGGGACACAAATTAAAAAATGTTTTTAAATTACTCTTTAAAGATTTGTGAGTTCGAATAATCTTAAATTAAAAATATCTGAACCTATGCATATGTATCAGGTGACTCTGAGCTCTGTACCATAGAAAATCAAGTTGCAGGGTTCCTGTGGGGTCAGCAATGGTAGTGATACAACCCCTGAAGCGGCCATTTCTACCTCCTGAGCTTGAGGTGTTGTTTACCTTATCTTAGTGGGCTTCCTCACGTCCAAACGGGTGACAACCCTCACTCTTTCACGCATCAACTGGAACAACCCGTCTGAGGGTTTGGCACTGGCTTTAGATAACATGGCATTAAAATAGCAAACCAGACTATCTGACTCCAGGGATGCTAGCCCCGATGTCTGAATGCTGTCTGAGCCCATGACCTTGGGCGGGTCCAGTCTGACTTCTCTACCTGGAGGACTGACTATCCCCCCGCAGGACAGACACACAGTAGGCATTCAGCAAGCTGCATCTGTTTACCTTAAAGAATTCACAGCTCAAAACACTGTCCATTAGCCCAGTCCCAAGCACATGTCTGAGGCAGCCAGAAAAGCTGCAACCACCCTACCCTGTGTGGATTGAGGCTGTGCTTGTATTCTCGGGCCCCGCCTGAGAAAGCCATTTCTGGAAGCCTATGAGGCACTGTAGCTTAATAAAACCATTGTGTCTCCTCCAAGTTCAGACTCCCTACCCTGCCTTTCCTATGCTGAGCTTCGCTTTGTGCTTATTTGGCTGAAGGGCCTGGGGCCGGGGTAAGGACCGGATGGAGCCACACGGAGAGGGTCTGCAGTTGTCTCTGAGGCTGTCCAGGATGACCACGGGGCCTCTCCAGCCGGAATCCTGCAGCCAGCCTCGCTGGGGGTGGGGGTGGGGGAGCCCAAGTGTGCCCACAGTCAGTCTCCAAGCAGTTAGGGGTGCAGCTGGGGTGGGGGTAGGGGTGGGGGGGAACGCATGCATCTGGGTTAGTTAGTCTCCACGCCGCCACACGGCTTGGCATGCCCGCTGGCGCTTAGGCAGAACAGACTTGATGCTTACAATGATGCCAGCCCAGAACGGAGTGTCTCTGACTAGCAGGGAGGGGCTGATGCTCGCCATGAGGAAACCCAGCACGGTCACCGCGATGCCCAGCGCCAGCTGCAGCAGCGCCAGCAGCAGCGGGAAGCGGCAGCCACAGCAGGTCCGCGCCTCCTCCTCCTCCACGCGCTCCTGCGCCCCGGGACCCGGCTTGCGCCCCATGTTCCTGGCGTGGTGGTGGTGGTGGCGGTAGCTACGCCTGGGCTGGGCTGGGCTGGGCCTGCCTGGTCTGCAGCCCTGGTGAGCAACTGTGGAAAACACTCTCAGGCCAGGAGCAGCCTAGGGGGGCCCGAGGGGGGTCGCCAACTGCCAACGCGTGGGGCCCCAGCGCCCAGGGCCTGTGTGATGGGAATGCCAGCCTGCTGTGTGTGCAAGACGAGGTGTTGAATGCTGAAACCGCTGGATTTTAATGAATAGATCAGATCGTTGAACACGAAAGTGGGCTCGGCTGCACTAACAGCTGTGAAGTCACTGCCAAAAGTTATTCTTTTTTGTTTTCTAAATGTGTAACCCAACTAACAACTAAGGGGGGAAGGGAAGAAGGGAAGGAGAGAGGGAAGGAGGGAGGGAGGGAGAAAGGAGCAGAGGAAAAAAATAAAGAAAATGGGAAAGGAAAAAGAAGAGAAGAAAACAGGAGAGAAAAATAAAACGTTTTTTTTTTTTTTTTTCTCCTCACTGAGGTATTGTTTATTCCCGGTGGGTGAGGTGAGCTGAGTTTGCTCTTCAGGACACACAGTGGAAAGAGAGAACCGATTCTGAGAAGATGAATATCCCTAAGCTGGTACACAGGTGATTCCCACGTCATACACATATGTGCGCGCGCGCGTGCGCGCGCGCGCGCACACACACACACACACAATAATAATAATAATAATAATATAGTAGGAGTATAGTAATTACTATTATTTGACAGTAGAATAAGTGTTTGCAGAGAGATTGGGATAATTGTGGCACCTCTCCCATGCGTTAGTTCTAGAAAGTTCTTTGTCCCCATTTCTACTTTCAGAGAGCCTCTTGCAGCCCAGGCTGGGTCAAACTTGCAGTACACTCACAGATGTCCTTGAATTCTTAATCCCTCTGCCTCCAGTTCCCAAAAGCTGGGATCACAGGTGTGCACCACCACACCCAGCCCCTGAATTGAAAAGTTATTATAACAGTGTCCATGAGCCCTCCCCCATGTAGGCCTTCACTGTGGCTGGTGACCCTAGGGGAGCTCATGAGTCTTGATGGAGATGCACCACAGTTGCACCCAGGCAACAGTTAAGAGCTATTTTTAGCACCTGCAATGAGCTTAGACAGGGCACCGAACAGATGGGCAATCTCAGCTACTCCCATTCTTCACACCTTCACAGGGCAGCATTTGGGACAGACTAGTGTGAAGCCACTAAGAAATAGTCCCATTTTTGGGTGGGAGTCTAGGCTTCCTTTTGTATGGTTACTTTAACATTTGGACGCTTTATTCAAAAGGATATTATGTCTCCGAGACGTTAATAAATAAATGATGCTGATTCCTAGGTTGGTTGGCACGGCCAAGCCTAGCTTCCCGCTATCCCCCTCAGAATTCCAGACTAACCATGGTCTGTGGAGAGCGGGCAGAGGTGCCTATGGGACTCAGCACACTCCTTAAGTTCCCACTCAGGGTGGTCTGATCACTGCCACACTCAACGGAGGCACAGTACAGTATAGGAACGAGTCACACAACATGAAGGTTTCCAGAAGAAACAGACAAGAGCTGGTATTAAAATAGAATATGATTCCTGCTGACGAGGACAGCCCAGCAGAGGGGGAAAACAAAACAAAACAAAACAAAAAACAACAAAACAAAAACCCACTTGGTTTTTCTACATAAATCTAATAAAACTCGAAGTGAGGCAGCAGACTATGGGTAACTAATTATGCATATAGCGTAGCTCCCAGCTGGGCCTGGTGGCACAGGCCCATGTTCCTGGAGGACTCAGGGACAGGAACTGGTGGATGATAAGTTCAAGGCTGGGATTTACGGGAGTACGGAGAACTCTGCAGACATTTCTATTGCTGTGATAAGACGCCATGGCCAAGCGCAACTTGAGGGGAAAACAGTTTATTTCGTCTTACAGCTTCCAGGTCACAGCCTCCCACTAGGGCAGTCAGGGCGGGGACTGAAGCAGAGGCCATGGGAGGATTTGCTCTGGCTTGCTCCTTGTGGCTCGCTCAGCTGACAACTCAGGACACCTGCCCAGGGAGGGGCCACCCTGGTGAGCTGCCCTACCCCACATCAATCACTAATCAAGAAATGCCCCCACAGGCCAGTCTACGAAGGCATTTTCTCAATTGAGGTTCCCTTTGCAGATGACCCTAGCTTGTGTCAAGCTGACAAGAAACTAAACGACACATCCCTAGGGCTGAAGAGATGTCTCAGAAGGTGGAAGCACTGGCTGCTCCTGGAGAGGGCCTGGGTTCAATGCCAGCACTCATACTGGGTATCTCACACCCAATACCTCAGCTCCGGGATTGGGTGCCCTTTCCTGGCATCCCTGGGCACCGCACACATATGGCGCTCATTCATACATGCAGGTATCCGTGCGCACCGCACACATGCAGGAACGGTGCTCACACATACATGCAGACAAAACGCTCGTGCACATAAAAGTACGTAAGTTGCTTCCTGACCGGACACAGCGTGACCAGTGGCCCCACACTCCCCCCTCCATAATCTTTCCACCGCGATGGACTACACCTTCAAACCACACAAACTCTTTTTCCTTGAGGTTGCTTGTCTCCGGTATTGTGCAGCAATAATGAAAAAGAACTAACATGCTAACATTAAACCAGATATTGCCTAATTCAATAGGAGAGAATTCTTATCTCTCAAACATTTTATCACCTAAAGTATTATTCACGGTGTGTTAGAGACATTGCTGTTTTGGGACCTGAGATCTTTCCTATCTCTCCTTATCTCAAGAAACAACCTACGCCATCTTGGCATCATCTTGAGAAGCACTCACAGCCCAAACACCAGAGCCTCAGCTTGACAAACAACAAAATCAGGGGCACCCTGCCCACAGACCTGGCATTAAGGGCTGGGGCAGGGGGTATAAAGACTGCCCTCTTTAGATAGGAAGCCAGCTGCTGCCCACGGGTGGTGCTCTCTCCCATAACTTAAAGCGAGTCAATACAACAGGTGAGAATAAGGTCAATGGGAAATAGACTAATAGAGAAAAAAAAATGGTGTGTGAGGAGGCTGGTGACAGTATTTAAGCATCAAAACCCAACTGTGTCTGAAGCCAGCACCCTTTGGATCATCTCTAGGGAGACCATTATGTACCACTGTCTCCCCACAGCATTTGCAATTTGGGATTTCAGATTCTATTTCATAATCAGCACACTGTTATCTGGGCTGTATTTGTGTCTACAAAAAGCAGCCTGGCTGGCTTACTAAACTGGAACTTCATACCAAATCAAAGCTTGAGTGTTGGGTAGACGCACTCACTTGTGTGTCGCTAGAACAGCCGTTACAAACAAACAAACCCTAGCAAACAAAAAAAAAAAAAATTTTTTTTAATTCTTGAGCAACAGCCACACTATGCCGGGACATGCCTTTCAAAGCAGCTGCCTTGAAGGGACAGGCAGCCTTGTATAGCAACGTTCTACATCCAAGGGGTCAGCCTTTGAGTCTGTTTCCACAAAATCAACCACCCCCTCGCCCACCCCCATGACCTTCTCACAACCCACCCAATGGCAGATTCTGCGGCTCTGGATTTAGTTTAGGAGTTTCTGTCAGGTGATCAATTTTCTGGACAAAGGTGATTACCTCACTGGACAAAGTACAAAAGCAGCTAAACTCTGTTCTTTAGTTACTGTCTCCACTTTCAGTCAAACGCGTTTAGATAACACCTGCCCGTCTCTCTGCCTTGTATAAACTGACTTGCATTTCCAAAAGAAGTTGTGTTTTTCTAGTGTTTTCTCACAGCACTCCCTAGTTTGAGCCATCAGCAAGAAAACACAACTATAGTATTACCTGGTCTTATGAGAGGGCCACATTTGTCAACCAACGCCCTCCAACAGTGAGAAAGTACTCAACCCTGGCCATCGGTAATGATCTTCAAAGGCCTTTGCTGCTATCACTTCTCAGTAGAAGACAACACACGGTTCTGATAGACAAAGGACCTATCAAAGGCAAGGTTCCCACCACGGTGGGAGAGCTGCTACTCAGAGCAGCTTCTTGGACAAGGAAAAGCAAAGCCTCCCCCCAACACTGGTGTGGAGTGTTCTGGAAGGTCGAGCTGAGCATAGTGCTTCAGAAACTGGCAGGCGGCAGGAGGGTTTTATTTTGTTGTTTGAGACAGGAGCTCACTGTGTAGACCAAACTGGGTCTTCGCTCATGATCACCCTACCTTTACCTCTGAGATGCTGGGTTACAGGTGTCTGTCACTATACCATTCTACTTACTGGACACACACACCCCTGACCCCCGGCAGGTCCTCACCCTGTCGCCCAGGCTAGCTTAGAACTCACTATGTAGCGTAGGCTGAGCTGGGACTCATAGAAACCTTCCTGGTTCAACCTCTAATGTGCATGATTACACACAGGCTCGCGTCAGCTGGTTCTCCTGGAAACGTTACTATCTTGTTTCCTGAGGAGCAGGTCAGTAGCTTGCCAGTGTTTCGTTTGCGTTTTGTCTTCGGTTGCTGTGTCCTTGCAAACACCTACTGGTCAGCAGTGCCTGGGTTCTTGGGTGACTGTTGAGTCCCTTCCTGTGCGGGAGATGCTGGAGGAGTCAACTAAAGTGTAAATGTCTAGTTCCTTCCTCTTCCCCAGAGCCTCACAAACCTTTCAAGTTTCTGCACAGCCTAACAGAACATCGCCAGTATCCAGGAATTGTATCCGGGTGTAACTAAAGTTTAAATTGTCAGCTGCATCCGCGTTCACGTGGAGAGGAGGTGCCCTTTCCACTTACCTCCCGAGCTCATACTTGGAGCATGAGCTCTGTGTGTCTTTTTTTAGGACAGAATTTCTGGGAGTCGTGTGGGAGCTGACATGAAAGGCCCATTCCTGACGAGGCTCTGTGAGCATCCTAATGTCTAGAGGCGTCGGGACACGCCGCTCATTGTTTCAAGAGCAGGAATCTCGTTGTGGTGTGCCTGATTGATTGTGCGAACGAATGTTCAGCACCTCCTGCTTGGATTC